TAACATTTCTTCGACCTTTTATTTTCCTTCATAGAACAAAATTTGGATATGTGGGAAATCTAATAATTTTAGGGTAGTTTCTTTAAGATTCAATATTGGTGCCTACAGAGTTCAAAGGGTTAATCATACCAAATGCTTGGTGGTTCTAGTGTGATTCTATATCTCATTAAAATAACCATTAATTCATTTTCCCCTAAAAATGGTCTTATGCCAGTTTCAACAAAAAATGGCAGGTACCTTAAGGTTCAACCATAAGTACTTAGCAGCACGCAGTATCTCACCGTTCGTACGTCCGCGTGGTACGTTGATGTTCACGTGCGAATAATGCACGTTGTATATTGGCAAGATCGCCGGTTAAGAGACTTCGACGGCAATTGCGTAACTTGTACGGCCGTCGAAAGCTATCTGCTCGGCATGCTGGAAGATGGCTGAAATTGGATCATTTTACTTAGCTCCGGCAGCTTTGGAGGGCCCAGAATCGTAAAGGTTCTTAGGCATCGAGAGTTACAGACGTCTTGAGGGATTTCTGGGGTCCCAAAAGTTTCGAACGTCTGAACCCGCCGGCTTACGGTTCCATCGGAGCTTCTGGATCGCACGGAAACTCATTAGCATCGAGGAAACCTCTGAAAATTCGTTGCATACTTTGAAAATAATCGAAAAACTCGACGCGGAGGTACATTCGCTTTGCTTGGAAATATTGAATTTTATTTGAAGTAAATATTTAGGATAATTATGTATAATATATATTGTATGTTTTTGCGAATTATTTATATTAAATATTACAATATTTCTATTTAATGATTATTCCAAATATTAAAATATTCATCTTAAATACTTATTTCAAATGTTAAAGTATTTATCCTAAATATCTATTATATCAAATATTAAAATTTTCATCCTAAATATCCATTATATAAAATATTAAAATCTTCATCCTAAATATCTATTATATTAAATATTAACACATTGCATACCAGAACCGAGAAATCTTTTATAAAGACACTTAGCTATGTAACTTCGCTAATTACCACAGCATTGAAAAAAATATAAAATTTCATTCGAATCGATTATCAATTTCAAATATATTACATAACAATATATCTAAGTTTTTCTATATATAGTGATATAAGTTCAGTTAACAAATTCAGTTTTCTGAAAATTAGCCGGTACGCAATCTGTTAACACTAGAACTACGTACCAGTCAAAATGACTGCTTCCGATTTGTTTGTTTCGCAGCTATTAACATCTTAAAAGCATTGAATATTTGAAACGATTTTAAACATAAACAGTTTCACTTGAGTACTATGAATATCCAAAGAAACAGAAAATAATCTATTCTTACAATTTTCATAGAGATTACATATCAATCGTATTAAATGCTCGGTAGTTCTAGTATTAAAGGCGGATTCGTGAAATTCCTTTATAGAAACTTTAAGAGTGCATCCATCGAGACTTTAATCGACTCATAATTCAGTTCGCGTATCGCTAAATAATTTCTTTAACAATTCCTCAAAGAAACATCTGTTATCTCTTCGATAACTGCTAAATGGAGCAATCGGAAATGAGTCGTTTCGACTCGCCCGGTAGTTTTAATGTTAACCGAGCTGCGTCTCGTCGGTTCCTCGGAGTTCTCCTCGAGGAACCGTCGCCGGCGTGCATGACAATGCATTTCGAAGAACTATCGGCCCGATGAATTGCAATTACGGCCGCGGCCGCAAGAAAAGAGCGATTTCTTGCCGCGGGAACTCGTCGCAGCCTTTCCGCTCGTCCCGGGTCTAGGAGCGTTTTGCTCGTTACGTGCCCGGCAAGTATTTCGAGGCGGTTATTTTATGTAAAGCAGGAAAATTACGTGACAGACTGTAGGATTACCGGCGTTCGTGACGAAAATTAGTTTAATGCCCGCTTAAATCGGCCGGGCTCGATATAAACTCCGAAATAAAAATTGAACCGCGTACGTTCGGGAATCGTACGGCCGCCCCGCGGGTGTTATCTTGTTCGGTTACTGTTATTACTTCCACGGCCGCGATAAGGAACGATTATTTCGTCCGCTGGCAATCATACTCTTCGTGGTCCGAGAATGATTTCATTCTGTCCGCGTTTCTGGCGATCGGGACCGTTTTATTCGTTGCTGTGCCGCGATAGTGACTTTGGAAATAAATGAATTTATTGAGCCTTAGCAATTCACATAGTGCAGTTTCTCCATAATTTATTGGAAAAACAGAAATTCCATACATATTTTATGGCAAAATTTACTCTATAATATAATTGATAACAGAAAAATAATATTTCATTTGAATTCACGAGAACCGAGTGATATTTATATTTATTAAGCCTTGGCAATTCACATAGTGCAGCTTTTCTATAATTTATTGGAAAAACAGAGAAATTCCATACATATTTTATATCAAAATTTACTCTATAATATAATTGATAACAGAAAAATAATATTTCATTTGAATTCACACGAACCGATATTTATATTTATTAAGCCTTAGCAATTCACATAGTGCAGCTTTTCTATAATTTATTGGAAAAACAGAAATTCCATACATATTTTATGTCAAAATTTATAAAATCTCTATAATATAATAATTGATAATAGAAAAATAATATTTCATTTGTATTCACAAGAACCGAGTGATATTTGTTAACCCACAGCACTCCACATAGTTGTGATATGTCAGTAACTTCCACCAATTTTGATAGTAGTCCTAAATTAACAATGTTATAACATTTCTTATAAATTCCCTTCTCGGTACAAACTTTGTATATTTAGAAGATCTAATGATCTTAAGGTAGTTTTCTTAAAAATCATTGAAATATTTAATATTAGAACTCGTGCAATATTGGAGCCTACAGAGTTCAAAGGGTTAACCCTGGTACCATGTGACTTTGAGTTACATTTTGAACTTTTTAAATTTTTTAGTTATTTCATATTGTATTTCCAAAAGCTTTAAAGATAATTCACAGATAAATTAAGCAACAAAGCTATTTTATTTAAATATTTCACATAGCAATACAAAGTTTAATTCGAAATACTAAATATTCAACTTCATAGTTTCGCTGTATCGAATCAAGTGGTGATTGAGAGTCACCTGTTAAAATAGTGCTAAACTCAGTTTTCTTTCATTTTGACTTAGACTTTCATAATTATGGGCACATATAGAGATACAATTAACGAGTCACTTCGAAATTAGAAGAATGATATTAAAACAGGATGACACAAGGAAACAAATGAAAAGGAAAGACAAGATTAGAGAGTATATTAATGACTGTTGTTAAAATTTCAATAACATGCAAATGACAGTGTTCTTATAATTAAGTTTAACGAAGCAATATCCCTTCGCCTTCGTCGAGGCTAAGGTTTCGTTATTTAGTTTGCTGCAGGAAATTATAAAGTTCACTATTAAATTCCATATAATCTATTAATACACTGAACATTAGAATATAATGATGTTGAGCCTTAACTTATAGCAGTTTCTTCTTAGATCAATTGTAAACAGTAATTAACATTTCATCGAAACGTAATGAATACCTGAAAATCGTTTCAACAGCAAAATGTTAAATAGTCGTTGAACGAGTATTTTGTTGCGAACTGTGACGCGGCGGATAATGAATAATAGGAATTAACAGTTAACGCAGCGATCGAAGCGATAAAAGTCGGTTAACGAGCAACTCGGAAGTTTACAGCTCCGCTTTATTTTCTGTTTTCGTGGGCGTGATCGCGTCGTTGAGTTTCTTATCTCGGAGAATTAGCCTTTCATGGAACGTAACCTCCGACGATTTGGCCGCTTCAACATGCATGAAGTCAGAATTTTATTCTTCTTACGGGTTAAAAGTTCCGATGATCTGTGCTCTATATACGCAGGTAACACCATCGGCGGATTTATTATTGAAGCGTTACGAGAGAATATTCTCGCGAAAGTATCAAATTTATCGTGGCATAAAATGAGTAATTGTTATTAAAAGCGTTCGCTCGCATCGCGAATCGTAACGTATAAATTATCAGATCTATGGAAATTCTAATAACCGTCGTACGAACTCGATGATATCATCGCTTGCTCCAATTATCACACTCTTTTCTTCGCAATCGTGTTCTTTATCGAATAGTACATCAGCTGTGTAGATAATCTCTTATTTTGTTCGACGAATATAAACCACTGTTGAAAATGGAATTCTAACTGTTAGTTGAATAATACTTATAATTAATACCTTAATATAGTTAATACCGTTAATACCTATCAGATAGATTATAGTAATTAATACTTATTAGATGCATTAGATACTCAATAATATTAAGACAATTGAACAGGAATACATTTTAGGAATACAATAATAGAAAAATAATATTCAATTCGGACTTAGAAGGATTAAGTGATATATATATTTATTAAATACTATTCGAAATCTTCACCACGAGATCGATACGACATTGTAGAGCAAGGGGTTAACTCTGCCACTATCGTTATGTCAGCAGAAATTAAAGCAAATGGACCCTTGCCATTTTTATAAGGTGTCCATATTAATCATATCAAATGCTTGGTAATTCGAATGTAATTCTAAACATAAAAACAAGATATCTAAATCTCACCAACACTACCAATAACCCAGTTTTCTCCAAAAATGAACGAACATCTCACTGAAACTACCATTAACTCAGCCACTACGATTAAATCAGCAGAAATTAAGACAAATGGACCCTTACCATTTTTACAAGGTGTCCATATTAATCACATATGCTTCTAATGTAATTCCAAACATAAAAAGAAGATATCTACATCTCACCGCCACTGCCAACAAGCCACTTCCCCCCAAAAATGAACGAACATCTCATCGCAACTGCCGTTAACCCAGTTTCTCAAATTTATCCCCCAATTTCCCAAATAATCTCCAACCACCCAACGTTCGCCGATACCATAGCTCGCGAGATTTCCCCTCCCCGGTAGTTCCCGACGAATTCACCGGCGCAGAATTCAGCTGAACGCCCTAAGAGCGTCATTGTTCGGCGTACGGGCGCAAGAAGAGCCAGCGCAGTTATCTTCAACTGGCCAGCCCCGTCCGCGTCCATTATCATTCAGTTGCATTCCTTACGGTCGCCGTGGCCGTCCGGGCACAAAGCATCAAAGAAATTGCTGCGGCGCGGCCGCCGTTCCTTGACCGAGCGAGCAGTGATTGAAAGAGGAGCACCAATAAACGCCGTTGGCGGCGTGTAGATAGGTACTCCCCGGCACCACACCGCACAGCGGAGTATCGTAAGATCTCCGATGACGTCGTCCACCACGTTGCCGCAGCCGTCGTCGTGTATCCCATGATCCCCTTGACGGAAGCTGCCCATTAGCCGGGCAATGATGATGCCAACGGACACCCAGGTCACCAGCGTAGCGGTACCGAGCAGAGGCCGGCACTGAGGATAGCTTTCTGGACTAGCGGCTGCGTCGCGGCGCCTCTTCGCCTTTACACGGCCGACGGTGTCCCTCCGGCGCGATTTTCCTAGGTCGAGCTAATCGCTATTGGTTTCTTCCGAGTGATCCAGCCCGAAGTTCGCCTTTAATACCAGAAACTCGGACGGAAGCTTCGACGTTCGCCTTTAACACGAGAAACTCGGAGGCTTCGGCCTACAATCAAGTTAGCTCCTTCAGAGGATCGCTTCGGGAGGTCGAATCTCGAGTTCGATCAGCTCCCGTGATCCGTCAGGACGTTTTTGGTTCCTCGGATCGTCACCTGGACTGGCCGGGAGTCCAATCGAGGAGCAGAATCGCCGATGCAGCCTGCGCTGGCCGATTAACGCGTACGTGCCGCTGATGCCGATAGAGGAAAGGAAGAAGCTTCGATCGGCGATCTAAGGGAAACTGATCGTTTCGTCGACGGATTGCGGATAATCGGTGAACATCGTGTCTGGTGTGGTTGCTCGGGGAGAGGTGCGGTGGGAGGGGTTTCTCGTTGATCGTGGTGAAGTGAATCTAGGTGAACAAGTGACGGGGACATTCGTCGATCGTCGTGGATGTGGGAGAGGCTCGTGGGAGATTCTCGCGTGCGATTCTTGACGTTTGATCGAACGAGGGAAAGTGTGATGTTGTGATCGCCGGTGTCGATGTCTTTGCCACACGGACACCTGGATCGGGCAACTGATGCGATCGAGCGGCCAGTCCTTTTTCGCACGCGGTCACATCGAAAGCGATGACTAGCGATTACGCCAGATATCGGCGTTGTTTCACTTCACACGTTTGCAACGACTATTCCGCGAGGGACGGGAGAGACGGTCGCGCGACCCAAATGGACGGGTATGACTTTTGTTTCTAGCGATTCTTCGGCGGTCGTCGATATTTATTCTTTCGATGAATTCTTTGTTTTTTCACGGAATGATGTAACTGTTCTTTGTTTCGCTTTGATCTTTCATTAACCCTTTGCACTTGGTTTCCTACGGTGAAGCTGTAAAGTTTGATATTTAATATACTTCATATGATACATCAGTCTGGGAAATATTGACGTAAAATCGCTTTGTTCGTCAATTTGCGTTAATTTCTCGTCGAGTTGGTTTTACAGAATATCGTCTTCATCTCATCAGAGAATGTTGAAATATTTTTCTTCATTAACCGGAAGCTAAAAAAGATTCTTCTTAATAATTGCTCCAGTACCTTATATGTCATATATCCAACAAAATTCGTTGGATTTGTCGCCAAGAAAATTAATGTCCAAGTTTCCGTGAAAAGTAGTGTCACCCGAATTCGAGTGGCAGTCAAAGTGTTAAATAGAGAAAATATTCCATTTTGCGTAATTATAGCAGAATATTTTGACGAAAATATGTGAGAAATGAATAAAAATCCAACCAAATTTTAGGAATAGGAGCTAAATATTAAAGGAGTATGAACTATTTACTATTGATATTCCTTAACAATGTAATCTTACCTCGCACAGGTTTAAAAAAACAATTATCCATGGATTTATCTTTGAATCCCGACATACAATTTCGAAAACAAGCGAAAAGAGAATATTTGTCGATTTGAGAATAATATCGCCAACAGCAACATTCGATGTTACAGTTTTTAAGATTTGAGTAGGTGCAATAAACACGAGTAAAATAAATGATTCGAAGCAGAATTCAACGAGAAACACCGGAGCTATGGAAAACACGAGTTGCATAAGTACATTTCGAAACAACGTCACGTATCAAACATAACTCGCTCTTCGCGTTCCCTAATAATGCAGGCTTGTTGACACGTTCATAATCGTATGACCCATATTTGAATACATATGGTGTGACTCTTAACTGAATGTGTTTTACTAACATTCACTTGAAGAGTCACGAGCGCTGAGTATGATTCACTTGACAGCCATTTTGAAAATATCGCCGTGATCTAATGTAGTTCGTCTGTAGTTCATTGTTTTTCTTGAAAAGAATTGTCTCAATTTTAATCTGAACGTCTGAAAATTGAATGTATCAATCGAAGTCAATAAGGAAATTTTCGTTGTTTCCATTGAACGTATAATTCAAGTATTTTTATCATTCATGATTTGTTAATAGGAACTATCAGGAAGTTATTTGAATTATATTCTAAATTATTTATACTTGATTTAGTAGAAATTTTAAATAGTTAAAAAGTTAGTAATAAATGTTCCTCTGTGGCCTCTACTCTTGTAACAAAACCTGGTTTCAATGCAGTATTCTTTTAATTATCCCTTAATCTCTAATTAACTCGAGATGCTCAACTAGGAATGATCATACGCATGATATTCACGTATCAACACACTACAAAACCAGTGAATTGCATAAGACAAATCAGTCTGATAATTCACAAACACCATTAGACGCTAACAAAGTCTCACACGTCAGTCTCGCATTATTTGAATAATTAAATTATTCATTAGACAGCGAAGCTCGATCTCTTCCTCTACATTTTCAATGCATCAAGAACCCATTGAAAAGCTCACTTTCCGCGGGTCTAACGAGATTCCTCGAATACGTACACATAAAACATCTAATACCTTAGAGCCAACAAGTTCTATCGCGAATCACATTCACTTTACAAGATATTCAGCGTACAAAAAGACTCCGCGAACCACCTGGCCACTTTTGATCGTCTCGGAGCACTCCGGCCCCTTAACTCACGCTCGTCCTTTTACTGGTTGCAGACTCGGTGTACCGATGCACCGTGGAAGAGCGAGCAATGGATATGAGAAAAGCAGAGGCTAAGTAGCAGGCTGCAGGTACAGGAACAGAGAAGGCGTAGCGGCAAGGAGGGGCGACCGGCAGATAGCCAAGCATAGAGGAAGAGAGCAGAGAAGAAGAAGAAGAGGCGAATCCGGTGAAAGTCGTGGAAAACGAAAGATCCATCCGTGGAAAAGCGAAACAGAGACGAATCTGACAGATCGCGCGGACGAAGGTTGAGAAAAAGATGAAGGAGATCGGTTTATGGACGCTGATTTGGACGCTGTGTCTCGTAACGGGCCTGAGCATTGCGCAAACGTTGCAGCTCTGCCCTTCGCACCATGAGATCACGCCCTGTTCCTGCACCCTGAAGAAATCTGGCTTGGACATCGTATGCGAGTTCACGGACCTGTCGCACATCACGAACGCCATGAAGGCGTTGAAGGGCAGATCGAACACGGTCATCTTCTACCTGCGCCTCAGGCATAACAACCTGCCGAAACTGCAGCGGTACGTGTTCCTCGGCCTCGACATCCACCATCTGACCATCCACAACAGCAGCCTCGCGGTCCTCGAAGAGTCCTCGTTGAGTTCCATCGGTGAGCTACTCTTTTCTTCTCTAACGAACCATTTATAATCGATAAAAACAATGAAATATTTATTTATATGTTGATATGCTTTTTCTATTAAAATTGCTTGGAATTACTGGTAATATCAATGAGAAAAAGTTTCAAGTGCAAAAGGTTAAAAAACGCTTTCTGAATGGGACGCGAAAAGATCGAAGCGACGTAATGGCGCTTCTTTTATTCTTCGAGAAAAGCCAAGCAACGCGACATGTTAATACTATTATATATATTATCTATAATAGGTAACAACAGAATACAGAATGCATTACTTGGATTACTTATATACAAAAAAAATAGCGATGCGACGTACACGCGTTTAATCTTTCTTTACATAACTTTCTGTGCATTACACCGTGCGTTTCGATGCTAGACGAACACACGTCAATATAATTTACTCTTGTCTGCAAAAGACAGGAAATGTCGATCGTCACAAATATGCGACGCTGCTAGCGAACGTGTTAATTAATGCACAAGAGTGTTCCGTCGCGTTAACGTTCACATCCGAATAATCGCTAGACCCGTGACTTCTATCAATGAACTCCGTAGCAGAGAAGCTCGACACTATTTCTGGCGTCATTCAATGCGGCAGTGTCGTATTAATTTGTAATTCACGTAGTAAAGTCGCAAATCGCAGTCGCACAACAAGAGACGACGATGGAAGCTCGTGTTTCGTCGTGTACCGATGTTCAACGGGATCCGCTTTAATTTAATCGCACTTTTGATGTCACCGGAGGGTTCCCGTTCGTTTCCCTCGTATCGCCTGAGCGTCAGTCAATTCCTTTTCACTGATTTATATACGTGTCACGGAAGAAATAAACGCGTTTCATATTTTCATTTATTTATTTTGCAATTTTTCATTTTACATTTCATCAACCGTTAATGAACTGGAATTATTACAAGTTCACGTAAAAATATCATGGCATAGATAACTAGCAGCAAATTCATAGAAGCGACCTAGCACAATTTAACGCGTTAATTGTGAATATTACAATAATAACGGTGATAAAAATAATAAAACGACTTTTCCCGCCATATACGCGCCATTGGACTCGGTCGGTAACAGTGCCATGCCGTATAAATGGCGGCTCCGTTAAGAGTTACTATACGTAATAATAATTGTATTCTAATAATTTCTTAACCAATTTTTCGACCCTCAACTCACTTTTATCGACAATATTCTAAATTGTAAGGTGGTATATACAAACGTGTAGAAATATTAAATATTAAATCATTCGATTGAATTGCATTATTATTATTGCATTCATCTAGCTGAACGTCACCGCATTAGGTAGCATTATTTACAATATACAAATCTTTTTGAATAATCGTAGTTCAACTCAGTGAACTATAATAATTCGATTTGGTTGGCGTTCAATGTGTTAAAGAAAACGTGTTCCATTTTGTGATTCACACATTTCGATAGTGAAAAGAATATTAATTGAAAGTAATCTGGCAAGCTACTGCTAACTGTTATGCCAATTTTATGAAAATAGAAAAGCGTCATTCAGGTTCTGAGCTGAAACAAAGGAAGCGCGATCACTTGGCATTTTTCGATCGGATTTTTGGAAGGACCCGTGATACTGAAACGGTTAAGTAATTTCATGGGAATCGTATTCTTTCGCAGGAAGTGGCTTGACGCAGCTGGACCTATCGCAAAATGCTTTGCTCACGGTGCCGACGACGGCGTTACAAGGTCTTCAGCATCTGCTTATTTTGAATCTGAACCGGAATAGGATCAGCGTGATCCACGGGAAAGCCTTCGAAGGTCTCGATACTCTTGAAATCCTTTCCCTGTACGAAAACAAGATTGCCACCATAGAGTCGGACGCTTTTAAAGGACTGCACAAGTATGTTCTTCGACAACCGTACAAGCAACGTTCTCACTTATTCTTGTGTTTACTAATTTCGTAATTGCTAAAAGTATCTAACGAATAGACAGAATATAAATTTCAACCATAAACGACAACATGAGAAACATCTGATAGTTTACTCGTAAATCGTTGAACTTTGTCGATAGAAAATTGAAACGTCAGTTGTACTATTTCAGTGCAGCAATATTATTCAACACTGGATTTACGGAACCCGTCAATTCGACGGATATTGAGTTTTTCGAACATTATTCAGTTATTTAGATTTTCATTCGTGATACTCTGGTTTTCAATCTACAATTTTCGCGATTGATGTAGACGAACACGTAGTTTCCTAGGAACGACAGATTAAAGTTTATAATAAACTCCATAAATCTAGTGTTAAAATTGATCGATCCCATAACGAGATTAACAATGATTCATTGTTTCTAGATCACATTCAACGTGATCAATATTCTTAAAAGTATAACGATTGGAATATCCTTAGATTTTTGAAGATGTAAAGTAAACTATAAACTTTGAAGATAAAAAAATAAAAGTTGTAATTGAGAATTAGAATATACTTAATTAAAAGTTCGATTTTTATGTACGAAAGGTAATAACAGAATTTTCCTATCGAAGCAGACTTGCCCGCGCTTTAAGGGTGAAACGCGAACGAATACGAAATTGGTAACACGCATTCGAGAAAATATAGATTAGTGTTGGTGATACGTAAATACAAACACGTAAATTACAGCAGAAAATTAAGGAGACTAAATCTGGGCGGAAATGAGTTGACCAAAGTGCCAACGCAAGCATTGCTCCCTCTGGACATGCTGAAGAAATTGGACATGCCGGAGAACCGGATTACCGCCATCGAGGAAGGCGATTTCGAAGGTAGGATCTCCTTAGACACACAATGCAAAATGCTTCGTCATGAAATATAAATTAAAGCAAGTAATAATAGAGCTGCTGATTTTTTCAGAATTTTTGCTCTGTAAATAGGTAGGTTTTCGATGAATTCTACAGTTTGTGATTGATACTCTCGATTTCAATTCGATTTCTTCACGAAAACTCTTGCCTGATGGATCAATTGAAAGTTGTTTATTCATCTTGGTGAGAAACAACTTTCAATTGATCCATTACGCAAGAGTTTTCGTGAAGAAATCGAATTCATCAAAATTCATCAAAAACCTACCTATTTACAGATCAAAAATTCTGCAAAACTCGGCAGCTCTATTATTTAAATCAGAATCAAGAAACACGATTAATAAATCAGACCTTGTTACAAATAACAATTATACATGATCGAACGTTTGTTTCATCCTGAATCAATTTCATTCACAATGGATATCTCATGAATAACGTAAAGTATTATTTTCCAATCAACCAAAACAATGCTCGGAATCCATATGAAACCCGTGTTTTTCATTTCTGCGTGATATTTAAACTAAAATACAATTTCTCTTGCGAAGCGTACGTCCATTGCCAATAACCGTTATGTACAAGTAAAACCTATCATCGATAATCATCATCGATAGAAGAGTAAAACATTGGAAGATCAGTTGTCCAGCTCGCGCGTCGTGGAATGACTCGAAATCGAATAAGGTTGACGAGTCGATAGATTAAACGTTCCCTTTTGCAGGACTGAAGAGCCTGGATTCGTTAGGATTGGCTCACAATCAGCTGCGCGAAGTCCCGGCTCGTGTGTTCTCCCACTTGACGCAATTAAACTCTTTGGAGCTGGATGGAAACCGCATTACCCACGTGGATCCGGATGCGTTCATCGGTCTCGAGGGTAAGTGCAATCACGGCTTGATACAGTTCCTTTGCACTGTCACCGTTCCTTTGACGCTCGAGGTCTTTTCTCTGTTACTTCTACACTGATCACCGGTAGACCAATCAGATCAACATCAGATAAACAACCAGTGGGATATTACTGTGTCCACAGTGAATTATAAGTCGAACACTTGATGATGCTGTCTGATTTATTAGACTTTTTCTACTGAAGTCTCTGCATGTTGTAAACAGTCTTGCATCTCAGTGACTTTCTATCGATATCAGTTAGCGAAAAGCGAAAATGGAACAAGAAATGATCTCGTGTTAAAAATTATTAAATTATTATTAAATCTTCGCCGAACTATTTTTTTATCTTTCGCATACGTCTATTATAAATGCTGAAAAACAGTATGTTGTAATGGATATTAAAATTCTTTTAAGCAAAAGACATAAAAATTCCTGCTTATCATGCTTTATCGGCAGTACATTAGTTAGGAGGAAGATTCTAAGATAACTATAATTTTCCCAACGATGGCACTGAAACTATTAAAAAGTACTTTGCGAAAAGTTCGCTAATTCGCGTACCAACCTCCCTCATCGCTAAAGTTACGTATGGTAATATAATGAAGTCTCTTCGTTCGAAGTTCGAATAAGTTCTCAAGTCAATCGAACAAGAATTATCAGAATTTGAATAGACGCAATCAAGAGTTCGCGTCTTAAGGAACGCATTTTTCGTTTGTCAACTTCTGCGAACTCACGCGTAAATTACACCTACTATTATATTAGAAATAATCATTACCCAATTCCTTCTAAATATATATCTTCTTTTATTATAAATTAATCGAAAACTGTAAAGCATCCTATTTATAACCTATTTCTGCGATGACAGATGTATTGCACAAACGTTCCACCTGATTTAGTCACACTTATTTAAAAACCTGTAAATCAATTCGTGATCAATTTAATTAGTACTACCTAACCGACATCTTAACACGTTGACCACGAAAAGCTTCAGCATTTTGTTTTTTCTTTTGTAGCGAAGATGAAAGAATTATCAATCGTTTGGTACTACAATTCTTAAGTCACATTATTATCTATTTATTTACTCTGTTGAACATTTTTATTGAATATTAGTTATCTTAGGAGGTACAATTGTTTTCAAGTTAACGAGTAAGATGATCTTGTTAATCTAATTGTAAATCATTGTTAGAATTAATACCACTTCTTAATAATTCTTCTTTATAACTACTCAATAAAGCTTTTATCAACTCACGTGTAAATGACATATTTTTCTTATCATCGCCTGTATAATATATTGTGTGCCTCCAGAAAAGAACCTGAATGCTATATGTTTCATGTGTATCTTATTACAGAAAATTTACAATATTTACGGCTGGGAGATAATAACTTACATTCGGTGCCGAGCGACGCACTGCGCCGTTTACACCGATTAAGGCACCTCGATTTAAGATCCAACAACATCACCGCCCTTCCGGAGGACGCTTTCACCGGATACGGAGATTCCATTACATTTCTGAACCTCCAGAAGAACCTGTAATTCCCTTAATTTCATTAACCGTTTGAGTGCTGAGGAGCGCTATAGCGCTCTTCTTGTGTTGTGCCAAAATTGCGGAGAGCGCGGAGGCGCTTCTGTTTATCAGTGTCAATTATAATTTTCTCACTATGTTTTTCAAGAAATAAATCAAAGTAACTTTATTTGAATAAATGTTATTTTTTGATATTTTTTTGTAATAACATAATATTCGTGATCTCTTTAGATAAGTACTCTTATCTTTTTGCATACACACCCACTTCCACATTTTTGGTAAATATCCACAAAAGTTATTTAGCTTCCAAACGGTTGAATACTATAATGAATGACTGCAGAAACTGAAGATAATTTATTAGTACTCATAATATTAAATGCTCGGTAGTTCTAGTGTTAATAAATACCCAGTTGTAAGTTTCATAAAGAAATTCCGCATTTTTGGCAAATATCCATAAAAATTGTTTAGCATCCAAACGGTTAATCCACGTATATCCCCGTGTATTTCCAATTGGTAATTATACGTGTACCTTTCCTGTGCCCCCTCAGGATCAAAGTGCTGCCGCCATTGGTCTTCGAAAATTTGAACTCCTTGGAAACGTTGAATCTCCAGAACAACAAGCTGACACAGATATCGGAAGAAGTCACCGAGAATATCGTCGATACCCTACGAATTATCGATATCACAGGTAAACATCAGCGATCCTCTTAAATCGTCAGTGACAGCTTTACATCTTCACACAGCGGTTGCCAACCTTTATAATTTTATTACAAAGTAAACATTACTTCACTGAATGTTTTCTGTCACGTTACAATAGGAAGTTCATTTATTTGTAGATATTATGGTATGGACATTGATTATTTATTAACAATTTTGGTTCCGCCCTGTCTTTCAATAGATATAACAGTATAGACACGTTTTAAATGATAATAACTTTATTACAAAGTAAACATTACTTCACTGAATGTTTTCTGTCACGTTACAATAGGAAGTTCATTTATTTGTAGATATTATGGTATGGACATTGATTATTTATTAACAATTTTGGCGCCGCCCTGTCTTTCAATAGATATAACAGTATAGACACGTTTTAAATAATAATAACTTTATTACAAATTAAAGTTGGAAACGATTCGTGCATCGTTCAACCAAGTGAAACTACAAACCGATAATACCGATACATTCGCCTCCCTTTCTCAGACAACCCTCTGGTCTGCGACTGCGAGCTACGATGGTACGCCGCCTGGTTGGGCAACCTGCGCAACAGCGCCGACGACCGGATGTCAACGAAACGCACCGTCTGTACAATGATGAACGAACACCGGGAGTACGCCCTGGAAAATATACCGTTGGAAAGGATGGGGTGCGTCAGGAAGAATGCCGGCCGAACGTCGTCGTCCGCCGGCAACTACCGCATCTATGTCGACACGATGATCCAGTTGTTGGCGGTAATCGTCGCGGTGGTCTAATCGGGAGTCACGCGACCAGCGGCAATCATGTCGGTTACCGAATCCCCATTCCCCCTCGGTTAGGAACACGAGAACGCTACCGGCGATGTTTTTATTTTCCTTTCTTCTTCCCGTTCGTCCCTTCATTGTGAAATTCACGTGGAACTAACACTGGAACTACCAGGCGGTTCGAAATCACTTCTGATTTCTTTTTATAATTATTCAGGTAACACGAGTCTCTGAAAATGTTAGAGACATTGACTTAACTGCACTCGGAAGGCACTCTTAATCCATTTGATTTGACAAACTATAGAATCTGATGTTTAACGCTTTGGCTGCCATGTCGCCCGAATTCGGGTGACACCATGATTCACGTAAACTTAAACATTACTTTTCTCGGTGATGAAACGAGCAAACCGAATTCTGTTAGATGCGAGATACTAGAAAGATAGTAGAGCAATCGTTGTGAAGAATGTTGACTTCTTAGTTTCAGCGTTATTAAGAAAATTGCTTTGATTGCGTGGGAGTTTCGATGAGTGTATACTTGGCAATCAAAGTGTTAATGTTGAACTTTGTATAATGATACAAAATATTGGAATAAAATTCTTCGATTGTCCGTGATTCAGTCCTATGTCAGACTTAACATTCTATTTTATTGCAACTTTTACCTTCTAACAATTTTTTCTATATTGTAGTATCGCAATTGTACCATTTAACCCTTTGCGCTCGAATGCCGCCATAATGGCGACTCCGAGCTTTGCTATCTAAATTCGAAAGCTGCAAATGAATAATTTAATTGTTCGAATAACGAGAGATAGATACGTAGTTTTTTTCTCTAGTGTTTAAGACTTTGATACGTAACTCAATATTTTCGTGGACAAGTTCTCGTAAGTTTCAAAAAGTCCCGACCGCAAAGGGTTAAAGGTAACATTTCAATGACTCCTAAATATTCTTGAATAAATGAATAGAGCGTCATGTTAAGCTGCAATTGAATGAACTAATGTTCATCAATGAACTAAAGTATCTCCAATGAAAATGAAAAATGCCATAATATTCCTTTGATTTTTTATTTTACCTCTCAATAGAAAATTTGGATGTGTAGAAAATAATTTTAGGGTAGTTTCTTTGATCCTTAAAACATTCGATATTATAACTGGTGCAATATTGGAGTCTACAGAGTTCAAAGGGTTAAATATCTTTAGCGAGAAGCTTCCGAGTGCGAAGGGTGAACAATATACAAGCTGAATTGTGAATCGATAGAAACCTCGATAGATGACACACTTGGAGTTTCTATAGAAGAATTTCTAGAAGTTGATTTGACTCGACTGTTAATGGTAGTTCTAGTGTTAATTGTCCCAGCGCAGCCGAGGAATCGTGTCGCGGTCGCGGAGACGCGACACGGTTCCGTTGGCAGAGGACGGTTCCTCGTGGCATTGTCTCGGCGGTCATCGAAGTTGTCGAAATTCAGCAGCTACCGATGCACGCTGCGTATCGACAGATACACCAAAAATGTGCTACCACTTATCGCGCGATCGAGATTGAAACATTGGAGTAGGTTAGTTAAGTCGATGCATTCGTGCATCAACCCGTTGCACTCGACAGTATTTTTCATTGCAAACATTCATTCATTTCTAGCAGGATATTAAGAATATTATTCGTAACGTAAAGAAACGTCGTGCATAAATTATTATTGTTATTATCATTTTTATTATTTTATTGTTTTATTTGTTTTGTTTCATGTGATACGTTATTCAACATTTTGTTTTCAATCTTTTATTTTATAATTTTGGTCCTCGAGTGCAAAAGGTTGTTGATACATATTTACCGATTCGAGTAAAGACGAATCGATCGGTATACGTACGAGTTAACCCCTTGTCCTAGGAGTGAGACTTGTAAAAATTTTCAACATGATTCAACAAATATATATATATATTAGAACATATAATTTTACAACAAATTATATATATATATATTATATTATATATACTATATTATATACATTATATTATATATATAATATTATATATATTATATTATATATATTATATTATAGTAATATATGTATATATTACTCAGTTCATTAGAATTCAAAGTAAATATTATTCTTCTGTAATTAACTGTTCCATTTAAAATGAAATATAGGCACAACATGTGCTTACAATTTTTCTCCAACAAATTATTAATAACAAAGCAGCCAGTCAGAGTTGAGAAAGAAATCATAGGCCAAGGGGTTAATCATCAATTCGTGTATCAATGTATTATTTAACACGTAGAATGCCCCACAATTTCAACGAAATGAAAAAATACAATATTGAATTATTTAAATATAAGAATTTTATATTTCAAATTATTTACAATATAGGAATGTTTTTTTAATAATCATCGTTTAATCGAGGGAATTACAGTAATCCGATTTGGGCGTGGGTCACCGGTGACCCACACGGCATTCAACGTGTTAATGTACGAATGCATCGATGTAGCGATTAGCATCTCGATATATCGATTGACGCATGCATCGTTTAATCAATTATCACATCGATCGTTGGCGCGAAACTGACAATTCTATTTTGTAACCGTTAATTATATCAATGTCTCTCGACTTCATTTTGATGCCAGGCTATTCTGTCAAGGAAGAATCCGAAGATTCTGGTAAACGATCCGCCTCGAATGTTTCACAGGGGACAGAAGTGAAAACAGACAATTGCAAATGAGGTTATGTGTTTCCACGTTTAATATCGAGTCGAAGTCAAAACAGATACTTACGATGATGGTCTGTCGGATACATATCAATAGTGCTTTTATAAATGTTGGAAGAGTATTGGTGACCGGAAATGCAATTGATTATTGTTATATATTCGGTAGTGGTAACGCGTTCAGTGGAAAAAATGAAAGTGTCGTATTTAAGATTACTTTGGTAATTACATAGTACGGTAGATTTTATTTAAAAAGTATAACGGTGTTGAATAATCATTGACAGTCAATACACAGGCGTATCTTTAGATATCAAGCTTCGAGGAACAATCGATTATCCGAAAAAAAAAATCTACTCGATACGAGAACAATTGATTTTCTAAATACAAACGATACGCGAAAGTATCTAGATAAAATCATGTTTCATTGCACCTTTGATCGCGGTGTTCGATTACAATGTATAGAACATTGTTCGATAATCGCAACTGAAATACGCCTGAAACGAGAAACGAGAAATATCTCGCGTCGTGATGTACGATATAACAGGGTGAAACGAAGGCGGCTCGATCCGATCGATAATCGAGCTGAGCCTTCTTCACCGAACGTTACATATCAAGATTGTTGCCAAGTGTTTTCTGGGTATCTGTTAAAGGCGAGAATTGTAGTATACTTGATAAAGAATTCGAATGTCCGATGTATTTAGCTGCAACTCTGTGAATCCACGGTCATTCGGCTCATACATATCAATACGTTTTCGACATTTTCCAGGGGCGAGTCGTTGACATTTATCGCGTAGCACTTCGTACGCCACAATCTTTCGTAACTCGATGATGAAAGTAGATCGATAGTGGCCTTTTTCATTTTTCGTTGTTGCTGAAAGTCACGGGAAAAGTTGTTGACACTAATTAAATTCGAAATTATAACCTCTGTTAAATGTCTCTCCGTTCTATTAATCTTTTTGCTAAATTGATTTCGTTTAATCTCATTTATTATATCATTATTATTTATTTAACCGAGACGATTTAAGAAGTCTTCTGTTTATTGTTCTATTTAACATCTGATTTAAGACGTTGAATGCAATAGTTCACTCAATTAATGATTACTTGAAAACATTTCTATATTACAATAATGCAATTCAATGATTTAAAATAACATGAGTGCTTAACATTGAAATTTATAAGCATCGTCATGAATTCAATTCTATATAACCTTAATTTTTTGCAATTATGCACTGTAATCCTCGGAGTGAGCATTTTTCCTATTTTTTCATTCAAATTTTTGCTATCCGTTGAAAGTGTTGATATTTTTTTTATTTTGTGTATGTTGCTTTATAAAGTCGTGCGGCGTTCAACGTGTTAACCGTCGTTCGGTGAGCAAAACAGTGTAATGGATTCGAGTAATCGAATAATCGAATAGAATCGATTGTCGGAGGAGCTGTTAAACCGACTATCTTCAGCGGCAATATCTTCAGATCATTTAATTACTTAACTCGGCTCACAAAGGACCGGCCTGTCGAAATGGAATAACGACGGCTGATGGAACGTAATGTAACTCAACAGGAAACCGACACTTGTCAATTCCGGCAGAGCGCGAACGCGATCATTGAAACGGCTTGCTGCTTCTGTTTCGTGACTTTACACCACTTTACATCACGGCGGTTAACCGCATGACAAAATTATGCCGGCTTTCAGCAATACGAGATGAATCTGCAAAAGCAAACGGTATACGTCGCAGTAACGCTTTCACGCAAGTAACGTTCATTTCAAATTTAACTTGACACTGGAACTACCGGACGGGTCAAAATGGCCCATTCCTGAATTCCCTTTTTGCAATTGTTAAAAAGATAATTGATGTTTCTCTGAGAAATTATTAAACTGATGTAGCGCAAACTGAATTGTAAATCAATGGAAATCAATGGATTTTCAAAAATCTAACTGCTTGGTAGTTTTAGTGTTAACACTAGAACTACCGAGCATTTAATTACGGTTAACACGTTCTGTAGGAAATTTCATATTTTCTTATGAATTGTATTAACTTTTTAAATCAAATATTAACCCCTTGACCTGCGATCGTGTCAAACTCTCGCAGCTAATTATTAATTTTTAATTTTTTAATTACTAATTCTTAATTTTTTTAAATTATCAATTGAATATTACTTTTCTTTTCAATCGTTAATCTTTGGAGTATACATAGACGTAGAAGCATCAACGTTCTTCTAATAAATTATTAATGATAAAGTAGTTAAGAAATAAATCATAGGGCAAGGGGTAGTTATATCCAAATTTTTAATAATTTTTATATATCTTGATATTGTTTCTTTATATTTTCGATGCTTTGTAACGTATACTATTGTGTCCCTTAAAAATATTTTACAAAAATTCTTGTGTATATGTGTTACATATGGCACCGAACGTGTTAACCCCTAAAAAAATGGTAACAGATTATTTTTCTTCGTTATTGTCGAACTATTTTCGAAATCATATCGAATATTCAACGCTTTCAGTATATCAATAATAAACAAAATCAAAAGCAGTCACTTTGACTGGTAGTTCTAGTGTTAAGTTGCCCTGTTCGTCTAGCAACGTAGCAAAGATTGTGACGTACGACAGCACGTCTGCTTGACCGTATTTTAAGCTGCGAAATGTGTTCGAAGTACATTTAAGAACGCACGACGCTTAGAACCCGCGATATTTTTCGATCTCTGTGAAAACAAATTATAGGTTATGGCGAAACGAGGAAAGTACGAAGAGAGATTTCAGCAGGACATCGACGGACACGGTTACATAGACGCAACATAGGAATTATACGTAACGTGTAGCAATGATTAATTGCCCTCCCATAAAATGTTCATTAAGAAGAAATGTAAACATCGTCGAACACCTTTCGTAGACTGTAGCCATCGCGCAGGAACGATATCGAAGAAACATTCACCGAACAGTGTAGAGCTGTAAAAGTATTCACATGGAAAGTAAACTGTATTTTACACCTCGATAGATAATTAACTGTACGACGATAGGATTAAGGTATTAATATTACGAATAACATTGCATATCGAAATTACGTAGGTTAACTTGCTAATATTTACGTCGCGACGCGAACTCGATTCGTCCAAACGAAGGAGAGTTTTAAATGTTTTTTTTCTTTATTTTTAAATATTTATTCTGTAAACTTGTAGATCTACAAGTATATGTTTGCGAGTGAGTAAGAAATGTCTTTGCATAATTTAAATTGTTTTCAGAGTATCATCTGAACTTTGACAACCCCTTGTCCTACGAGTGAGACTCATGAAGATTTTCAACGCGATTCAACAAGTATATATATATTACTCGGTTCATTGGAATTCAAAGTAAATATTATTCATCTGTAATTAACTGCTACATTTAAAAGGAAATATAGGTGTAACATATGCTTAGAACTTTTCTCCAAGAAATTATTAATGAGAAAGTAGCTGTTGAGATCAGAGTTGAGAAGGAAATCATAGGCCAAGGGGTTAATTAGGATTGAACAATTTTTTTAATGTATTACAGACACTAAAGGAAAAATTGGAAATTGAAAATTCTCTCCTTCGATTTGGGGATGGAGGTTTGCGTCAGTATAACACAACATACACATATCATTTATACGCCCAAATTCTACTTGTAAGATAATGGTTAATTATATTAATGTAAGGCTTCAGTAATGTAATCTCTAAAGATCGTATACATATCGTGAACGTATGAGATTTAAGAGAATTTATTTGTTAATATATATATAATATATGTACGTTGCATACAATATATACACATTATTACGATCATCAAAGATATATTATATATCTATATATTATATATATACATATATATATACAATATATATATACATATACGCATTGGATGTTTTTTTTAACAAGTTTCGTCGATAAAAAATACAAAGCTGTTGTTTGCATACTGTCGTCCGAAGTAAACAATTGAAAGTTAAATTATTGGTTCCGTTTTTGTTATATTTCTTACTATATTCTGAAATGGTTTATTTATAAACATTCTTTCCTAACTTCTTAGCGTTTTCTCTCTATAAGAAAATTTCATTTCTATTCCTAATAGCTTTTTCGAAAATCAGAATGGAAAAGGAATTTATTTAACATTTCGCGATACGCCGAGTGTGATTCTATGCAGGCCCTACTTTTAGCATAGAATCCACGGGAAGCATATTGAGAATACATTTTGTATAAACATTCCCTTAACGACAGCTTGTTTGTTCGAACGACAGGTTGCAAACGATGATAAGTTAAAAAAAGCATTAGTAAACACAGAAGTAAAGAATAGCTACGTTAGAATAGATACACTTATTCAGTGAGTCCGGAGTTCCAATCCCAAGATCAAAGACTGAATCGATGGGAAAATGATAGTATCATATACACAGAATATATTGGAACATTAACATCAAGCTTTAGCTATCTAAATATTAATTATCTTTCACTTTACTCCACAGCCAAAAAATGAACCTCGATTCGCTAAAAATCAGATTTCAGTTGGAACAACCAAAAATTCCTTTTTTCCCAAAAAGATAATAATCTTAGCAAGAGAACGTGAGCCAACAATATTTTCTTTCACACACGACTCTACAGTAGAATATAAAGTTTCATGGAAATGTATTGTATGCTTTTAGGTATCTCTATGGAAAAAGTACACTACACTCCTGACTCACATAGTGGAACATATCCCCTAGACGATCTTAGAACGCGGAAACGGGGTGGTCGTTAATGACGCTCTCACGCGTCGAAGACGCCCTATGAACCATGTCGAGACATATCTCTGATGGCCGTAGTTGTAGTCTCGCCGGCTGCGTTGTTATTATTACTAATTATTATAAGCGGTATTTTTGTACAGTGTCTTACAGTGCTCGGATCGTTGCAGGCGCAGCCGACGAGCCGTTCACGGCATAGCCATATTATACATAATTATTACTATTATTATATATATATATATACATATACATAAACATATACATATACATATAGCATACGTATATATTTATTTCGATTGTAACGCGTAATAATTGTTAGAACGTTTCTTCGGCGCACTCATACGCCACGGTACGCGTGTACACATTGATAATCGAACACGGGAAAATGTATGGTGTGTGGAACGTATTGAACGCAAGCGAAAGAGGACACGTTGAATGAATAATGGAGCCTGTCGTTTTGACTCCGTTTCTATGTTTTTAATGAGATTCAACGGTCCGGTGAATATATCCGCTTGAATATATATATCTCGGTGCTCTCATACTTGTTCACGCGTCGAAGACACTGGTTTCGAACTTTTTCACTTTACCGCTAACACACACTAGTGTCGAGCCAACACGGACACAAGAGCATGTATGTATTTACACGTAACGAAAGTAGTCGTACGAGCATAGGCACGCTTACCAGTGAACTATAGAGATACATAACTACCTACGTATCGTACCTATATGTTACTTTCTTCTGTTAATTAAGGTTAAGTAATTCTTGTGTATAAGAAACACGATACTCGTATGGAGAATAGAAATGTGAACGAGTGGTTAAACGTTGGTTAAATACATGCATCATGTCTGAACATTGTGAGAGATTAGAAAGAGAGAGAGAGTGAGAGAGTGAAAGAGAGAGAGAGAGAGTGTACACATGCAACACATACACAGAAATTACACGCCTAAAATGTTACATATCGGTGTTACAACGTATAAATATAAACTATATTATTATAAATATACAGACTATGTAAAACACAGATACACATAAAGTTTGTCTTTATATGTCTATAAATATTGTTATATATATACATATATATATATATATGGTCATTATATTATAATTATTACGTGTATGTGTTATGAAACATCTTGTCTCGCAATGATCCGCGATACGGGCATCTACCCAGATTCTAATGTCTATATGTCATTGTTTATTATGTCGTTAATAATTAACGTGTATATGTGAAACTTTCAAAACAAATAAAAAAATACCTAAGCATGTATTTCTTAGAGTTCCATCTTCTCCACCTTCTGTTATTGTACGGTAATAAATAACAAATATTTTATTTAAAGATATTCTTTTTATAATTCAAGGAGCATTTATTGATTCTAATGAGTAACTTATATTAATAATATAAAAATAAATAAAAATAAAATATCAAAATAAAACTGTGCAGTCCTTGGCACTGTTGAAGAAAGGATTAATATAAATAAATGATAACAGGATGGTTGTAATACTGTGACTAAGATCCTTAAAATTTCTTGAGCATATTTGTAGGATTTTTCCCTGAGTGAAAATGTACCCGAGCGACCGTTTAGCTTGGGTGACAAAGTAGCAGAGTGGGGCTCTTTGTTTGGAAAACCTTGAACATAAATGAGTGTTGGGAGTTCCAACTTGGGACTGAGGTAAGCAGGAAAATGGGTATGACAGAGAGAAAGAGGAAGAAAGAGAGAGTGAGAGGGAAAATGAGGCTTGTAAGGATGAATGACAAAACTAAGAGAGGGGATTTAGTGAGGGGACATTCGGTGAGTGGGATTTCTGTGCATGGATGTTCTGTAAGTCGCATTTTCTGAAAGAACGTTTTGTGAGAGTCAGTGAGTGGATGCTGTGAATTAGCCAGTTCAGTTGTTATAGTTTTTACCTTTTGTTAGTAAACTGTGTTGTTGTTAAGTGAGATTTGTGTGTTTATTATTCCTTTATTTGATTTTATTTGATTTCCATAAAAATAATACGTATATTTTACTTATATGTTATACATTACATTTACAAAATAAAATGTTAAATACTGAAATTAATCGCTAATGTTTGCATGTAAGTATATATATGTAAGGTAGATTGTTATGTTTGGTTCGTTAAACTAAATGAGACTACATAATAAGATTTACGAAAGATAGAGTTTTTGAGATATAATAAAATATATGATACAGAACTAAATATGAAGATGTAGAAAGGATACAATATGAAATAAATATTCGTACGGAAAAAAATAAAAAATTGTTCTCCCCGACGGGGAATCGAACCCCGGTCTCCCGCGTGACAGGCGGGGATACTAACCACTATACTATCGAGGATTTGACGATTACACATTTTATTGAGGGGGTACTTCTAACGCATATCACAATATATTATATTTCATTTGATTATTTAATTTATTTAATTATTCTAACTATGTTTAACGAAGTATAATCATTTTAAACTTCTATGAAGGCATATTCTCGACGAGAACTCTAGGATTCTATTTTTCCTTTTCAGAATTTGGAACAGAGTTAAATGTTTTCTTTATAAAATAAATTTAAATGTTACAATTAATTGTTCATTGTCAAAATATTTAATAAATATTTCATTAATAACACATAATAGTTGTGCCTAATCTATTGAAAATCCATTAAGATAAATTAAAAAAAAATAACTTTAAAAAATCCCACTTATCTTGGATTGGTGACGCCACCTATCACAAAAACGCTCAAACTTCTAGCCAAATAGAACCAGATTCTATCCAATAGATGGCGCCATCAATTAATTCTTATAACTTGGTAATTTATAAGCTATATTTATTATTACTTTTACAAACAGAAAATAAATCACGTCCTGTCTCTTTGAAGAACTTTTAAGTAATGAAACAAATATTTACAACAACTAAAAAACATTATGAAACTGACAATTTTAGCATAACAATGGATAAATACAATATGTCGATAAGATTGGTTAAGTCTCCGCTAGTTGACGCCACCATTTAATTTTTATGACTTGCTTGATAATTTATAAATTATATTTATTACTTTTACGAAAAGAAAGTAAAACACGTCTTGTCTGTAATGAATTGAATAAACATTTACAACTGAAAAGCATATTATAAAATTGACAATCTTAGCATACTAATGGTAAATACAATATGTCGATAAGATTGGTTAATTTTTCTACCATATCGGTAGGAATACCCCATACTATCTCTTCTTCTCACTCCCATGTATCTACTATTCACCCCTCACGTTAGTGGCATTGTGTTTGGTTTAAAAGTACACAGGAGCACTTCCACATACATAACAAAAACGTAACAAAAACATAACAAAAATGTAACAAAACAAACGTCTCCCAATCCCAGATATGCAACCGAGTTGTTCCAGATGGGAAGAGGCGAATTGTACATTGGACGTCGAGTCTATCCTGTCTGTCGTCAGTGTTAATGATCTGAAATACCGATTGTGTAAAAAGGCAGACGTTTTGATCTGTTATATATATCAGGGGTGTTGAACTGGGAGTTTACGAGCCTTCTAGGGTCTTTTCCCTCACGGAGAATTATCCCTTCACCTGTTGTATTAAACACTACTTGCATAAAGCTCCTCACGTACAAGTAAAGGTCTTACAATAGTAAGTAAGAGAATTACTAATCGGAGTCACTAGCTTGAGGGGTGGCAGTTCGACAGTTTTGATATAAAATAATTTTTCTAAATTTGAAGTTATTTCAAAGGTCTGAATTGACACGTGCTCTAAATTTAATACTTATTCCTTTTTCTTTAAATTTGGATAATACTTATATTTAATGTGCTATTATATAAAATTATAAATGTAATATAATAACAAACTGAATGAATTTCCTATTATAAAGGTGGGGATATTTGAATAAATATATAGAATTATGTTACTTATAATACAAAATTCGAAAAAGCATGGGGGAATTAACTTTTCTTAGCCTTCTGGTGGTGGGTTTAGGAAATACTAGTATGTTAACGCATATAATACCATCCACAAACGAAAACAATAGCAATAATTATTTTGTATACCAATATTCTATACGGAAGTTAATAGATTTACATTTATTAACAGTATTTACGTATACGCTATAAATAAATGCTAATACCAGTTACAGTTATTTAAAGAAAAAATCAGTTGTAAATGTGCTGAAAGGGTGAAATGTCAATCAAATCAAGAGTCCATCCCGCGTAAAATTAAGGGCATATAATATTAATATACTAATCTGTTTTTCTCGAAAAATTAAGAAAATCAAGATGCCTTGTGAAATGATTACTTTGCAACTCGGCCAATGTGGCAACCAAAGTAAGTAAATGTCTAATATATATTTATACTAAAGTATGAGCTTCTGTTTTTACTAGTAACGAATATGTCAAATATTTCATTTGTAATGTTCTTAAAATTGCATTTTTTCTTACACTACTGAAGCATTTATGATATAAAATATTTCTTCTAGTTTTTATTAAAATATTTTTTAAAAAATGTTCTATTGTAATGCTGTAAGCATATACACAAGAGTATTGATTCTTATAAGCATCAACAAAATTTGTTTGTACTTTCTATAGAAAATTTTTAATGTTTAAATGCTTTGATCGATTCGTTTTAGAAAAAATGAAATATATCTATAGCAATGATTTATCTTATATCCCAGAATTTTAGAATTAAGTCAATTTTGTTTATATTTCAGTTGGATTTGAATTTTGGAAGAAATTATGCGCCGAACATGGCATTAGTCCAGAAGGTATTTTAGAAGATTATGCGACAGAAGGAACTGACAGAAAAGATGTATTTTTCTATCAATCAGATGATGAACATTATATACCAAGAGCAGTATTATTGGATTTAGAACCAAGAGTAATTCATACAATCATGAATTCTCCATATTCCAAGGTATGTTTGTATATGCTCTTACAAGTAATTATAAATTTGATCAATTTTCAAAATGTTTAGTCTATTTACATTATGTTTGTAGTTTTTAAGTTTTATTACTAAAAACATCTGTGATTTATTTACTATGTCAATAACAGCATTTATTAATATTAATGTTACTTTTTATAAGTTATACAATCCAGAGAATATTTATTTATCAAAACATGGAGGTGGTGCTGGAAATAATTGGGCATCCGGTTATCATCAGGGAGAGAAACTTCAGGAAGAAATTTTTGATATTTTGGATAGAGAAGCTGATGGAAGCGACAGTTTAGAGGTATTTCTGAACATCTATTTAAAAAGGTAATTTATATTTTAAAACTTAATATCATCTATTTTTATAGGGATTTGTTCTGTGTCATTCTATAGCAGGTGGCACAGGTTCAGGTATGGGTTCGTTTATGCTTGAATCTCTTGCAGACAGATATCCAAAAAAACTGATTGAAACTTACAGTGTGTTTCCAAATCAAGATGAAATAAGGTATATGTCACATAGAAAAATAAGATTGAAGTAGACTGTAAACAGTGATAATATCAATTACATTGTTCTTTCTAGTGATGTTGTAGTACAACCATATAATTCTTTGCTAACATTAAAGAGATTAACACAATGTGCAGATTGTGTTGTTGTGTTGGATAATACTGCTCTTAACAGAATAGCATCAGACAGACTTCATATACAAAATCCAAGTTTTACACAGATTAATCAACTTGTTTCTACAATAATGTCTGTTAGCACCACTACACTTCGGTATAGTATTACTGGTTTTGATTGGAAAGTAAAAGTATTGAATATTTCATCTTTAATTAACTTGCATTTCATCAATCTTAGGTATCCTTCGTATATGAATAATGACTTAGTAGGTTTAATTGCTCCATTAATCCCAACACCACGATTGCATTTTCTGATGACTGGTTATACTCCTTTAACCACAGATCAAGAAGTGAGTAGTCATTTTATTAAGTATAGAATAAGAAATTTACATACACAAACGATTGAATAAAAAAATTTGTAATTTTATTTTTGCAATAATATGTATTCTAATAAAATAGGGAGCGTCTGTAAGAAAAACTTCAGTATTAGATGTTATGAGACGTCTGCTACAACCAAAAAATATGATGGTCTCTACAGCATTAGACAGAAACGCATCTCATTGTTATATATCTATTCTCAATATTATCCAGGAAAGTGTTAATAATTTTAAATACAAAATCTAGACAAACGTAATTATTATAATTCTATAATTCTCCCACAGGGTGAAGTAGATCCAACACAAGTACATAAATCATTACAAAGAATAAGGGAACGAAAACTCGCGCAATTTATACCTTGGGGTCCTGCTAGCATACAAGTAGCTCTATCAAGAAAATCTCCTTACATACAAAGTACTCATAGAGTATCTGGTTTAATGTTAGCTAATCACACTAACATATCATCTGTAAGTTACGTTTACAATACAAAAACTATTTCTATGTGAAAATAGTATATATCAATATAAAAAAAATATTTAAATATAATTTAATATAAGAACTTCACATATCATAAAAAAAGATTTTTTTTACATCGTTATATTAAATGTTTCAGTTATTTGATCGTGCCTTACAACAGTATGATAAACTGCGGAAACGAGAAGCATTCTTGGAACAGTTCCGCAAGGAAAAAATGTTCGAAGATAATTTAGATGAGTTAGATAATTCTAGGGAAGTCGTCGAATACTTAGTAAAGGAATATCAAGCCGCGACACGAGTCGATTATTTATCGTGGAATCCCAATAAAGCGGAGGCATAGAATATCAAAATACTTAGGCAAATATGTTTATAAGTGATACAATAAGATCTGTGGAAGTCACCTTAATTTAAAAATGTTTCGTTAACAGAAGTTCTCGCACTAAATAGATCTGAAATCGTATTCTTAGTACAGAAGTAATACAAATTTAGAGATTTTTTTTTGTCATTATTTAAAATTTAATTAGTCTATAGAATCCAAGCTTATTTCTGACTTTCGTGCATAAAATGGAGGTAGCGTAGCAATTGTAATAAACCCTGTATGACCCGGTAAAGAATGAGCATGCGTCACGGTAAGAAGTTTCGTTTGGTTTTGCTTTTCACTTTTATCTTGTTGTGCCATATCTTCGTTCACATGCTAAAACATAGTTAACAAATTAATATTAGTATATTAAGACCTTAATATAATTTTCGGAAATAAAAAGTACGTGTTATTCGTACAATGATAGTTACAATATTTTTCTACAAAAATGAAATAACAGAGGTAACATTCTATCAAAAAAAATATCAATCTGTATAGTACTATTAAAACTATATCAATAGCATATGTTGCAACTATTTGACCAACCTCATGCTTCAAACATTCTAAATCCAATATAGGAAGGTTTTTGTATTGCACATTTACTTCTCTTTGTAAACACTCGTATGTATTTAATTCGATGAACCCTTTTGTTACTAATTTTAGACAAGTACGTTGCACTTGTTCAATACAAGGAGAAAAAGAACAAAGTTTTCCACCTAAAAGTTAATTAATTAGTTCTGTAGTTTTATTAAAAAAATTATGAAAACTATATACTTGTTCATGTCATAGTATTACAGTTATTATTGTTACTTTGATTATATGAATTCTATGTAATGAAAAATACTTTTAAAATAAACCAAATTAAGAAATTCTTTTGTACCTGACTTTTTAAAAGCGCATAAGGCATGATCAATTGCCAACCATGGATGTGGGAGATCCAAAAATATTGCATCTACTTTATATTTTAATTCTTCTCCAAACCCATCTATACAAACATCTTTTTGATTTACTGTTACATATTCCTTGAGGCCATGTCTTTCGAATTCTGCGTTTGCAACATTTACACGTTGTTCATGAAAGTCAAATGTATAAAGATGTCCGTGAGGACGAATTGCACGAGTAAGAGCATGCGAAAGAGAACCGCTTCCCGTACCTACATTTAAACCTTATATTTAAACAAAGTACAAATATAATTATTCTCCAGAATAGATAATTTAAATATGTGTTCAACCTGTTTCAATGACTATACTTCCAGGTGCCAAATCCATTAAATATATAATAAGGCTTATATCGGGGCTATATAAAATTTGTGTCCTATGAGGAACTGTTAATGTCCATAGTTCCGGGGTTGGTTGTAAAACATACCCCCATCCACGTGAAAGTTGTACTTTTGTACCATATTTTTGTCCAACAAGAGATATGACTTTAAGTGCTCCGTATGTTGTTTGAAAGACATTATCAACCATATTACCCTTCTTATTCAGGATTTGTGGTTTTATTTGTAGAGAATGCATATTAGTAGGCCCTAAGTATAAAACTACTACATCTCCTTCTTCTATAATGTCTTTGACTTTATTGAAACTCATTTTGCTGAACTAGATCAATGTATTTTTGTACTTTACTATTTATATATATCACAATAATAATTATAACATAGATTTTACTACTTTTTATTTTATTATTTCTATTATTATTTATTTTTATTTATCCAATCTAATTTTAATTCTTATTATTTATAGATATATTTTATTACTAACTTATTGTAAGTAATGTGTATAACCCTAACAATATTCATTAGAATAATAGGTACGAAACATGTATGTACTATTTCATGTTTTTTTCTTAAAGTTTTAACACTAATATCAGTGTTATATTATTTTATAATAATGCAATAAAATGTAAAATTGCAGTATTTATAAATTATAGAACTTCGAAGTGGAGACACGTGGTCCTTTGTCAGTAAACACCTGACAGATTGGTAATTCAATCTATATTGTAAGAAAAAGTAGTTTTATATATTAAAATTATATTTATAATAAATACTGATTTACAAATAAGCATTTGAAAAGAAACATTCAATTTTATAGAAAATTCTTTCTTTGTTTAGTTCATAAAAGTACATAATAAAGGAATATAAATTTGTAGCAACAACTTCGGACAAATTCATTCACAAATTAAAATAGGTTCATGCCATTGAAGCAGACAGTTATATATTTTTCTGAAAAAAATAAAAGATAATAGGTAAATACATGGATACACCTATTTCAAATTGTTCGATCTGAAGAAAGCTAAAATGAAAATGAACAGTAATAAGTCTCGATTTCTGACAAATGAAAATTTGACTTAACGAAAGTGACACATTTGCAGAGAGCCGTGACCCATGAGGCCACTAACAGGGCTTCTGAAAGTTTAAAAATAGTTAAATAATTGGTAATGAAGTACCAAATAATTTATCTTAAATTGTTGCTCCAAAGTTGTTTATATAAAATTCTTTTCCATTAAAATAGAAAAGTGATTTGAACATTTCATTTTCGATAATTTCGAAATATGGCTTCAAAAGTTACACTATCCCAGGCTCTGGGTACAGATGGAAGTGATTTTAATCATAGACAAAAAATTGCTAGTCACTATCAAATCAGGTAATTAATGCAAATTAAAATAACACATCTTTTTTGTTTTTAGTTTTTATCATTTACCGCTTTCTACTAGTTTTAAAAATTTTTCAACTATGGAAATTTTTATTCTGTAAATAGGAAAGAAATAATTAAAAATAAATTGTTGCACATCCGTTGTTATATATTATTAGGATTAAATATGTTTTCCTTTTAGCGCAACAAATAAATCAAGACTGAAATATTGCATATTTTTTCATTACCTTCTTTTCTTCGTTATGCTTGCCAAGTTATCGGCTGACATTTTAGATCATCTGGATATATTTATTTTAGAGATTGAGGAGTTACAAGTACCTCAGGTAAACAAATAAATATTTACATTTTTCTTTAAAATATTTAATAAACTTTTTCATTATAGCCTCTATGGTGGGAATACATATGGTGCTCAAGTTTGATGTTAAGTTTCCTTGCATTATCCGCTATCAAAAGAAACAGAGTTAAAACATTACAACAATATATAATAGGTATCATTTTATTAGGATATGGTCCACTTTTTTACGCAACTGTTTATTATTTCAAGGACGTTTGGAAATACCTTAATATTGGCAAATCGGAAGAAATTCATTTATGGCAGGTGTGCATTTATAATATGAATGGCTAATATTATATTATTTTTAATATATATATTAATTGCCAATATCATGCTCACATGATTATGTGTATTTGTATGAAATATGTGTAAAATTGCTAACAATTCAACTTTTTAGGATCTGCCATATGGTTTATTGTGGTATGCGTTTATACTACTGGCCTCTCAAGTTCATTCATTTTCCTTGTACTTCTCTTGGAACCTTCTTGTAGCTTGGAAAACACGAGGAATCAAGAAAGTTGAATAATAAAACAGAAAAACTATTACAAATTCAAGCATATCTGTGAATATTGTTGATCATACATATTTTTATTTATAATAAAGAAAGATACATATACATGCTTTTTGGAAAAAGATTAAAATTGTAAAATTGCTGTTAACGTGTAAATAAGTGAGTGTGGTGTATATGCGTCCGCGTGTGTGTGTATATATATGTGTGTATCTAATACATACGTAAATATATATTATAAAAATATGTATAAATTAATAACACATGTTAAAACGTTTTCATGTATAAAGAGATTTCATTTTTAAAATAAATTAACCATCATATGTCATTTCATTAATATTTTGAAAATATTAAAATTTAAACTCCTCTACAATTATTCTTTTACGTTTATATTTTACCATGGTAATAAACATTTTTAAATACATATTGAAATATATATATATATAATACTTTTTATGATAATAACAGATAGATATTTTTATTTGTAATGCATCAAGGGATTACAAAAAAAATAACAATCTAATTTTATCATTTTTTTACATGTCTTTTTCGTTAATATTTTGTCAATCTTATTTTTTAAGATCTATATATAAGTTTTCTTTAATTATACAAATTAATGTTTTAGATATTCTACTTAAGTGCATAAGTAAAATTTTTGTATTTATGAGTTACTAAAAATTTGTATTCGCAAAATATTTATAAAAGAAAACAATTGTATGCATCGTAGTATGTTTATCATACAAAAAATTCCCTAGTATTTAAGGGAACTATACGGATAGATGGCCTATTGATCGCCTTTAGCAGAACTTACGTATAGGTATTACACACATATGGACATTTCACTTTTGAGGGACTTTGTGTCCTGTGACCATCCGTGTTACGATTAATACAACTTCTTGCATTTTTCTCTCATTGTTCTAAGTTACACGGTAAGTTTAATTTATTGCAATAACACATTCAAAATGTTCCAAATAAATTAATTATTGCATTTCCGTGGTACGAATTATAACAAGTGGGTAACAAGAACATAGTAACTGATGTCCATTGCGATTATATAAATGAGATAATATTGACTTAAAAAATGACTTACAGGTTTTTCAGTATTCAATTTGTCAGACAATTTAAAAGCAATGATCTTTATTTGTTTTGTGTCTTGTACTTTTTAGCATTATTTATGTTACACTTCAGTTTTATGATACAATCATAATGAAAGATCATTAAGACAACTACTTACATGCGTTCTACAAATTAATAGAGTAATTGTGATATTAACAACCAACTACCTTATATTTATTAATATTTATTAAATCATAAAACTTGATAAAGTATATTTTCATTAAATTTTTCTTAAAATATTTTACTTGTCATAAGTTCTACATAGTATTTCAAATTTAATTTATATGTTATTCATATAATTTATTGTGTTATTTTTCAAAACTTAAATGATGTGTTGGTGAGTTAAATATACATTGCCATAGTTTATTATGCTTTAATTTCC